AAAAACATTTGATATGATAAGTCATATTTATAGCAGTAGGAAATGGGCCAATCCTTAGGAACATATGATGTCTCGTCTATCTAGTATTGTTAGAAATTACCATTAAATATTCGTATAAATTCCTACTTTTACTGTTCTATATGTCAAATCCGGTCTTTCTGATCCTTTCTTTACGTAATATACATCATTCCAGCATATAATGTCAGCAAAAAACTCTGGTCTTTTTGTCGTTTAAAGAATGATTTCCTTTTCTCACTTTTGTGGGTAGAAGTGATTTTTATCAATATGAAACATAGCTGTAGTAATTTTAAATACAACTCTACACAAGGTTACCTGTACAGAGGAAGATGTATCTACTATTTCTGCTACAGTTAATACCCACAGGCTTTATTCTGTTGGTCTATTTTGTAACAAAATCCCCTTCATACACATTTAACTTTTAAAGAAAAAACGTTTGCTTTCAATCAGCGCCCTTCGAATTTGAAGGGCTTCTACATAAACACATAAAGTTCCCACCAATGGTTTGAAAAGAGATTTCTATGTTTGAGTTTTTGTCCTAGCAAAAACAATTTTAAACGAGGTGTAATTTATCAAAACGAATCCATGGTTGAAACTTGTTTTTTTCACACCACAGTTCTCCCTCATGACAAAATAATATAATTAGGTTGTGGAATATGTACCTGAAGACATTTGCATATTAATCATGAAATGCAACACAACTAATTTCCTAATTCTTAATAACCTCACACCAACCATGTGCAGGCAGTTTTTAATATTATTCAGACTCAGCTCTCTGAGTTTAAGCTTGTTTAAAATGTTGATACAACTAAGGTAATGCTATTTTCGAAAGCCAAAAAGACACCGGAGACCACTTTGGATATTGTTACTATGCAAGGACAAGCACTTGAAGTGGTTGCCTGTTATAAATACCTTGGTATTGAAAGTACCTATTTCCTGAGATCTCATGCTGTGGTTTTGTTATATGTGCCAAGTGCTACTGTCTTACTGTATTGATGAAAGCTTTTAGGTGTGCAGCGCCTCTAACTTGGAACAGTCTGCAAAAAGAATGGAAACTGAGCAATTTGGTTCCACTGCATGTTTTTAAAGCTCGGATAGATGCTATGCAATCTGATACTGTTGGTAACTGTACATGTCGTTAGGTATGGCAATTGTAAATCCCTGTATCTATGTTGTATGATGTCCTTTTTGTTTTTCTGTTGTTTATGTTTGTATGCCTTCATGTGGAAACTACTTGCAGCAGGTCTCCCTTGAAAAAGAGATCGATGATCTCAATGGGATTAATCTGGTTAAATAAAGGTTTGAAATTAATCTGATTACCTGTATATGATGACATAAATAAAACAGCTTTCCTTCTGGAAGAATGACAGGCAGGTAAATAGTGTAGGTGTTTTTCAGCTTTTGCACACACGCACACACACACACACACACACGCACACACACACACACACACACACACACACACACACACACACTCAACAAAAACACAACCAATCCCACCCGGAGAGGAGCATCCTTTACATGTGTCTGCTAAATGAGTATCTCCGGTATGCAAGCCACCTGCCGCGCCGTGATGAACTCATCACCCCGAGAGGAAGTGACACTGAGTGGGAAGTACTTGACCTGTGTCCATGTACGCCTCTGGGCTCTGTCGCTGCAGCACTGTGTGGGAGGTGGGAGTGGAATACATTATCTTTATCTCCGGCAATAAAGTGGCGGAACCTCTATCACACATTTAGTGCAGACTACCGTTCTATGAGAGAAAGATAAATCCATATGTAACACCTGTGTGAAATGTTCTGTTTGTAATGAGAGGAACTGGTTGTGTAAGATGTTTTTTTCACCACAGCCCTATCATTTTTAAGAGCCAGAATCAGCAGGAAACTGCAACCAGATACTTTGCTCCTCTATAAAATCTCATCATGTTGTAGTAAAAAACATTTTGTGCAAATTAAGATTTTTTATTGACCACTATAGTATATAGCCATATAAAAATGAAAAGTAAAGCTTTATATTGCTGAAAAGTAATTTTAGAACTAAATCTCCATAACCTTTGGTGTCACTTAAATCTCCAATATTACTTTATGGTGTTTACTTTTTATTTGATGCTGTCATATAACAGAATAAATCACTATAGTAGTGCATCTAACTTCAAGAGAGGACAAGACCATCAGTCCCATCTTTTGATACAATGCACATCAATGAAGAGGTTACATGAGCATAGCAATGTAAATATAATGTATGTTTTGTTTGACAATTGTTTAAATCAGTTGTCATAATGTGGCTGTTGAAACAGGAACAGTTATACATAAGGGAATGTAAAACAAAGTGTTTGGGGTCATGAGAAAAACACACAGTTCCTGCCATGTTTGAATAATGCACCATGTTGAATAAACATTAAAAACAAAAATGGCCCATGTTGAATGATCCACTCAGTGAAGAGCTCTTGGGAGTTTTCAACAAAGGCACAGGCGGGAGTGGAAGCTCTCAGGTGGGTTATCATTGAAGTTCCTCACATTAGTAACAAACAAGCCCAGCATGCATTTGGTGTAACACAGTGTAAATATTCTGCTTTCATGTTTTCTTCAAAGAAAACAAGTAAAATGTAAAGTGTAGACTAAGGGAATAAACACTTTTAAAGTAAGATAGACATTTAACATGAGAAAAAAGAAAAAGACTCATGGACTTCTTGTATTAAAGTGATACTTTATACAAATATGCACCTGTTAGCACCTGTTAGCATCCACTTGCATCTTTGCATTGACTTTATTGGCAACAGGCTGCCTCAGAAATTCCCCCTTAGTTCAGTCTGATCAGACTTTAAGAGGCTGACTTTTATTTTAAAAGAGAACTCATTTTGTCGATACAACAACGACTTTGAGATGCAACAGTGGAGTCTTTTTCTAATTATCAAAGCAAAGATTATCTTCACTCACATCTTGAACAACACCCAACACAGCCTCTCTCCCCTCCACTAATCTCTCTTTGCTTCTCGCCTTTATGTTCCGCTAATCTTTAACCAAATCTCAGTGATTTCTCTCTTTCTTTGAGATTTTTGAAAGATGTTTGAGATTATGTATCTTTTTGTAGCGCCTTGAAGGCTAACTTCCATGTCTTTTGATAATAGATGCAATCTCAATGCAAGGAACAGTGTGTAGAATTGAGGAACAGGGGTATTTTAAGGATGGCAAGTGCACACAGATTGCTTCATTTGCCAAAGAGTGCGATTTAGCTGGAAAATGGCTTTGCCAGAGGCTATATCCATCTTATAAGGCTAATTGTACTATCTTAAAGCACTCACTCTGGAAATAAAATATGTGTTGTACCCAGAGTTGGGTGTAACGCGTTACAAACGGTAACGGAGTAGTGCAACGCGTTACTTTTATAATTCAGTAATCAAACTACAGTTGTAATGAATATTTAATTGAAGTGACAGCAGATATATAAATTACATTTCTTCAGCTCAGTAAGTTGGTTTAAGTCATTTGTGAAATTAAAATACACAAATCAGAAACCTACTGTAACTGTCTACAGAAAAACAGAATGGCAGAGTGAGGGCAGATGAGAGATTGTTATAAAAATGCATACATATACACATTTTTTCTGTTTTTTTTCAAGGATATCAAGCAGCAGGAGTCACTTAACAATGATATAACTCTTTCATCCACCTCTCTGTTTGTTGCTCATCTTGTTATTGTCCTAAACCTAATTTAAATCATGTTTGTGTCTAAACCTTATCCAACCTTAACCCCGCCATAACATTTTGTCGGCCAGTTTGGGACAGTTGAAAAAAGTACATTATTGACTTATCACTTGTTAGGAAACAGTTCCCACATACATATCCAGCAGAAATGGAGCGACATGTTAGTGTTCACCTTATGTATGCAATTTTCCTTCTCTTTTAGCTCTGTTTTTGATCTGCACCATCTCCTGGGGGAATAATCTGTCTTTTTAGCTGCATAATAGATATTGCATAATACAATGAATATTTTCTTGGGTTCTGGGTGAAATATACTGTCATATGACATACTTTAAAATGAGTCTACTATTTGAACATATTGCGTGAAGACAGGATATAAAACATGTCAAGGTTTGGGGAATAGTTGTTATAGGGGCTTACATTTTCCATTAGTTCGAAAAACAAATAGTGTTTTGCTCTCGTGGTTGTAAATTATACAACACAAACGTAGCTTTGCCTGTGATGTGGCCACCCAGAATCCAAAATCACAATGCCTGCTCCAACATCTTGGTAACATCTTTAAAATCTTACCTTTTGAATATCAGATGCACATACAGATCTGGGTGATTTCAAACACACACTTGCAAAAACTCTTTAAACCAGAACAAGGCATCAGACTTAATGCAACCTTCGATTTGTATCTCTTTAAAGTTTACATTTTCCTTTTCAAGAACCTGTGCTTGCTTTCTTCCTCCTTTCCACTGTTCTCCACGAGACAGCCACCACATTGCAGGCGGCTGCAGGTGTGGGAGGGAAGAAAAAGATGGCGACACCTTTCCCTGCTGTCAGGGGGCTCCGCCACATCCAGTCCTCTGCCTGCCTTCACACACCCTGCCTGCCTCAAGCTGTGTACTTTACTGCCACAAATGGGAGGAAAAAAAAAGCCTTCCTCATGCAGTGCTAATGTGGCAAATAAAAAAAACAACAACATATATTTAAAAAAAATCTGTCCTTCTTCTGTTTCCTAGGTAACTGAAACAAGGACGGGCCCTCTCGGCTGCAGTAACTACGACAGCTTGGATTCAGTTAGCTCGGTGTTGGTGCACAGCCCGGAAAATAAGATCCACCTAAAGGGTAAGGCTCTATAACACCCACACACACACGCACGCACACGCACACACACACACACACACACACACACACACACACACACACACACACACACACACACACACACACACACACACACATCCTCTCAAACAAACACCTGC